CTGCTGCCTGCTGTGCTTCATGACTTCCTGTCTGTCCATCTGTGTTTAAGGCCAGAGACAGTTTTCTATTAGAAATAAATATGGACCATAGCAGAAGGAAAGTGATTCAGATTGTACTTTGACTTAAATAATGAAGTGCTTAAGTCTCATTGGATTTAGTGGGTTGTGCTCCCATAAGGTTGGGACTAAAATATAACCTGGAATTGCAAAAAGTACATTTCTAAAAATGATCTAACCTTTAACTTTTTGATTGAAAGTACGTAAGATGCATTGATCTTTAAAACCACGTGTCTGGAGAGCTGCTGGAAAAGGAGGGGCAAAGAAAACGAAGTAAATCGTAACTATGACTCGGTTCCCAAATCTCTTACTAAGATAAGATAAATCAGATTTATTTATTTTCAAAAACAAAACTATAAACTCATAAAGCAGGCTGGAAAACAATAAATGATGATTTATATTTGTTCTGTGAAGAAAAACAAGAAACATGCAGCAATTTGACAGCAAACAGGAAGTAGTGAGACACGGAGGCAAAGTAAAACAGCCTTTGCTTTCCTGCACAATTTCACAGCTCACTCTGCACTTTCTTCCATTGACTTTGATTTCTCTGGTAGACTTTCTGTTGGACCAATCAGTGAGCAGGAGGAACAGTTGCGAACCAGGATCTCGATTTTTTGCGTCGTTTTAGAATCGCAATCAGTCTGCAGGTTGAGCAACGGCAGCAGAGGAAGTGAACGAAGCCATTCAGTCCATGTTGACTAAGCTTCCACAAACTGAGGGGACATGAACGGGCGCCTCGGTTGGCTCGGCTCTTCTCTCTTCGCAGTGGAGGACGGTTAGTGACAGTGCAGGTAATTTCCGATTAGCATTTTCTCAACATTCAGACGGTCAATTGTAAAGGGAACTGAATATATTTCTGTGGTAAACGGAAAATGACACACACACACACATTGTTCTGTATCTGAAAATTGTCACATTTGCGTACCCTCAGCTGTGAAGAGAATTCTGAAACTGCAGCATCTGTGTCAGCAGAAACTAGTCTTGTATTTTAAATGCAAATGTTTGTCTTGCAACAGAAACAAATGGTACCTGGTATCCGTTTTACAACAACAGCAATCGGAGAATCCTTTAGTTTCTTATCAGGCGAGCTTGGAAAAGTATGTGGACACAAAAGTTGATGGAGCAAATCGAGAGCTGAAGAAAAACAACAGATGCAGGGAAATTGTATTTTTGTCCAATCTCATCTCCCGCTGACAGAGTTGGCATTTACAGTGTACACGACTGTGTGTGAGCGTGTGTGTGGAGCGCAATCTTCTGGCTGCGTATTTCAAAAATCTAATGTTTATCCGGACGTTTTTCTGGACGCTTTCTCTGTTTTAAGGGTTGGAGAAGCACTTTCCAAACACTGACCGAATTTTTTGCGTATGAAGGATCAGCGATGGGAACGGCTCTCCCTCCATTGAGAGGAGATGCATGCAATGGGAGAAGCACTGGAGTGGAGATCTGTCACAGCTGCTCAGACTGTTTTTTTTTTGTTTGTTTTGTTTTTTTTTCCTTCCTGCTTTTTAGCAAAGTCAGATGGAGGGCATCTCTGCGGAAAGACAGATATACACACATCGCGATCCCTAGAGTAACTTGTGTGTGGCTGTGTGCATATTTGGATTCCTGCAGCCAAAATTCCTTTAGTGTGCTCATGCGGGGGCGTGAAGGCAAGCTAGTGTTAAAATGTGTGAATGCCGCCATGCGAGTGCGATACCACCTCTGTCTGAGAGTGCCGCTGTGTTTATATCCTCGTGGGGACAAATCAGACTTTGACGTTGCAGGTGTGGTTGACGCTTTTGACAACTAAGGAGGCTCTCCTGTGTGAGCTCACTCAGGTAGCAAAGTATTTAGAGAAAACAATGTTAAAAACTTGTGTATTTCACGTCCGTTTGGTCCATCAGCTCGTATTTCAGCACATTTAATGAATTTATTTTGAAAACGACACACAAAAGTAACTCCTAACTTTAAGAACCGTTGGCAGATTAACGCACAGGCTCAGACAAGGAGAGTCTGTCAATGGAAACGTTTGTTTTATTCATCACACATGATACCGAAGTCAAAGCTGTGCAGACTAAATGCAACACGAATGGTCGTAAACAGATTCACCCACAATAGAAAGACTCACATGCACGTTTCTGCTCTGGAAACAGTTTTTTTCTTTCTGCGGCTGTTTGGGACATGATTTTATTTTTTTTTTTTTCAATTAGGATAAAAATAAAGCCAGCTGATGATGATTACATACGTCTCGACTGCAGCGCTGAAGTCCATACGCTTGTGTATTTTTATCATCTCCTGTTTGGTGGTCGTCTGTGAACTGGCATTCTCAAACAAGTTAAAAAGGACAAAAGATTTTGGGAAATATTTGCAGTTGCGACTTCAAACACAGTGACTTGCAAGAAGATTCACGCTGTTTGACATTTTTACACATTTTCGTGTTACCACAAACTTTTATTATTGTGTTTAAGGGTGTTTTGTGGTGGACAGCTCAAAGTAGTGCAGTTCTTTACAAAAGAAAGGTTGAAAAGTGTGGTGTGTGTGTTTTTTAGTAACCCACTAATGGGTGTGTGTAGTTTCCTGGGGCTTTTTATGGAAATCTGGGCATCAACTCAGGTGTTTTACCCTGAACCACTCACTCCTCAATGAGTGGTTCAGGATTTATTTTTGGAAGCAAAACACAGGCTCATTTATTCAGCGGGAGAGTAAAGTTCTCAAAGGCTCCACCTTGTGGCAGAGGAGATGTCGACGCCATCATTTCTTCAGCGTCGACCTGGTGGTCATGGGATTCTCTGCAGCAGAAGGCGAAATCTGTTCTCCATCTGCTGCTGAGAGACAAAGCGAGGCGCAGTTATCCCTCTAATGCAATAAGCTAAACTCTGTTGCCTCTCTTTGTATTTCTGGCATTAGAATATATCTATATTTTATTTTTTACAGTGTTAGAGTGACGCAGTTGATTTGACATGTGATGCATAAAATTGGATGAATGAACACCACTGTGTTCGGTCAAAAAAACAAGTGGAGTTGAGCTATTTTGGAATAAACACTCATAATGATGACGTCCCAGTCATTGTCTCGTCATTAGAGTCGGCTGCGTTTGTTTGTGTCCCTTTCTGCTCGAAGAGGCCGCATGCATCCGAGCTGCTTGGCGAGCACAAGTTCGAATGCAACAGCACTCATGCAACGTTTCTTTTTCATGGAGCGTTCAAGATCTGTGATCAGAGATGACGCTCACACAGGGTGTGTGTGTTCCCATTTCCAACCCCGTGGGGCGGATTATGAGTTTTCTCTCTGCTGCCTTTTTGTCGTTGCCTGTAGTGGATCTGGATCAGACCGAGAGTTTTGTTCCGGACTGCAAGCGCAAGATAAACAGCCGTGTCTGCAGGCGCTCGTTCACACATGGAGCACGAAATATACCGTCAAAGATGACAGAGGCCAACTTTAACAATGAACGCACTCAGTCCCTCACACTTCACTGTGAGGACTTTAATTGATACAACCACACCATTGTTGTTCAATAAAAAAATACAAAAATAAATGGCTTCAGAGAAATTATATCCTTGATTTCTCACATTCACACATTACTGTTTCATTTCACAGCCAGGTTTGTTGTTTTTGAAAATATAGGTGATGGAAAACAGCAGGACAAAGTCACGACTGTGTATCACAAGTTTTGATATATGTGCGATGGATGACTCGACGTGGAAATCTGAGATTACGTTCCCAACAGAGGAACATTGAAGAGGAACTCGCGGCGTTTCATGTGTCAGTCTCATGTATGTTTGATTGTTGATTGGTGTGTGATCAGTTTATATTGACCAAATATAAGGTCAGTATTTCTGTATTGGAGTAGCATAAAGTGCTCTGAGCGGTCAGTTTGACTGGAAACGCGCAACGTAAATTCAGTTTGTTTACATTTCATTCATATACTTCATCAATCAAATTCAGTTATATCTGGGACTTCAGTGCATGTTTTTAAAAATATTTACATAGATTTCAACATATATATTTTTTAAAATTATACACAATAGTTCCAGCAGGAACCTTTGTAATCATATGTTTCTGGTAGGCCCTTAAATCTGACGCACAACTGCAACAGTTGACAAACCTGCTTCTTACTCTTGAGTGATGGAGACTTTGCGAGATCAGTGTACCTGATCCCAGACTCTTGTGTTTACTGAAGGTCTCGTTCTTCACATGGATTATTCTAATAGTTTGGTTCAGCGTCAGAATTAAACTGGAACAGTGCGTACTATTCTGATAATTGATGAACAAGTCCAGCATGTCTGGACCTGCAGCTGACTCTCGGCAGCCAGACTTGCCTCCCGCCAACGTCATTACTTAGGACTAAATGTATGTGGGTCAGAGGAGGATTACAAATATGGATCATATTTGAACCAAATACGCAACGCTATCCGTCTTGGTAGGCAAGAGAGGTGTTGATTTCATAAAAACACGTGAAATTGAGCTTTTATGATTTACATGTTTGGTGCTACAGACTCTGCAGCTAAATGTTGCGTCTGATTGATGTAAACTTGTCATATAAGTCTGCAAATCCCAAACATCGATTTAAAAAACATGTTTATATACTTTATGCACCACTTCCACTGGTCTATAGCGTTTATGTATTCGATGTTAACAAATGGACTTGGTATCTACTTTGAGTTTAAAATTGAATGGAGTCCTGATTAGGATGTTCGCTGAGCAGAGAGTGGCTTTCATGAAATCCATCTGGCTTGTGCTGATTTGAGCTAATTTAAATGCATCAAAGATGAAAGAGGTAATAAATAATCCGTCTGTCTCCTGATATGAGCCTGTGGGGAATGTGGCTTTTTATTATTATTATTATTATTATTATTTATTTCCTGCTTCTTCTTCTTCTTCCAGTTTCTGGCTTGTCCTGTCCTCACTGTTCTGCCTTCTTTTTCTTCTCCTTTTCCCCTCTGCCTTCCCTCCCGCCCCTTCAGTAAAACCATCAAGGTGAAAATAATTGATGACGAGGAGTATGAGAAGAACAAAGCCTTCTACATCGAGATCGGAGAGCCTCGCCTGGTGGAGAGCAATGACGCCAAAGGTCAAGAAGAGGGTGAGCCGCCTGACCAGTTCCGAAAGCCGACCGCGGGAAGCTCCAGAGCGTCCGCCATACCGCAGTGGCTGCATGCTGTTAACACGGAAACTCCACAGGAGGAGACGTAGTTTTGAATGTTCTGACTCTCCGTTTTACTCTCCTCCTGCCGCGTCCGGGGGAGCATGCAGCCGACTGCGGGGTCACCTCATCCCACCACATCTACCACCTAGTTTTTGTTTTGCTTTTTGTAACCGTTTTATATGTGTTTTAATTTGCATACCTTGTCATGCCATTTTTTTTTTTGGGTTGTTGTTGTCTCCCATGCATGCATTTACCACCTTCCTTCTGTATGTGTTTGTGTGTACGTGTGTTGTCCCATACAGGAAGACCATAACCATTAGAATCTTAGACCGGGAGGAGTACAGTAAGGAGTCCTCCTTCTTCATTGTGCTCGAAACCCCCGAGTGGAGACGCAACAGGAAGGAGCAGACAGGTGTGATGGGCAATCAGCATCGATCATACACTTTAACTCTCACTTAAACTTCCCTGGGTTCCAAACCTTGGAACGGCGGGGCAATTCCCAAACTGTAGTGCATGATTTGTGGTTATGTTATGTCTTTCCTATGCGGCATGTCATTGTCTCAATTGACATTTTGCTTTGAGTTGAGCTTTAGTTTGAGTCCCATTGAAATAACACAAAACCCAACAAAACTTGGCAGACTAGAAATTTCCAAAAACAAAGATGGGCAGTCATGCGTTGAATATTAAGAACCGTCACCCTTAACCCTATTTCTAAACTTCAGTAAGCTAGAAGAAGCAAAGCGTGTTGAGCAGCCAATTGCAGGTTTGCTACCGGAGCATACAGCCCAACTAAATGGCTATTGGATATCATACGTTATTCTGTAAAGTGCAGAATGGCCAACTGTATAACTTTTGAGAAATAAATGCTGAAAAACTACTCAAACTTACCTACATTTAGGCTTTAGCAGCCCAATTACGATCTAACAGCACTTAGCTCATCTATGGACTCTGAACTATGTAGTTTACATCAGTAGTGCAGCAGTTCTATTAAACAGACAGTAAGCAAGGAGAACTCATTAAACAGTGTGCCATTAGTCATGTATTATTTCTGAGTCATAGACTAATTAATAATGCATTGCCATAATGTGATTCGCTTTATGATTTCTACTACTAATTTGTCTGTTACAACACTACCCTGGGCCATAACAGCTGAGATTTTTTTTAAAGTATAGAACCACACAACAGTTTTAAATCACCTGTAATTTCTTAGAATGTTTTAGGGACGACTTGATTCGAAGTCTTTCTGAAGGACTCTCAAATTTTTTCTTTGAAATCCAGCTGCTCTCTGGCTTGTATGTAACCATGGCAGCACATTTTCCTCCATGCATGAGAAAAGTGGAAACCAAAAGGACTAATTTACCATAAGACACTGCAAGACGTCATCATTCATTTCACAACAGAAAACAGTTTGAAAATGTCACTTTTAGGATGTTCACATAAAGCCTGAAAGTTCATGAATCAAAACGACAAACTATGGTCAAAATGGGAACAATGTTTACCAGCTGACCTAAAATATAAATGTTAAATTTATAAATGTTTACATTTTAGAAGCACAGTGATGGTAGAGATGCCATCTCAAGCTAAATATTGTTGCATTTCAAAAGATTTATGGCTTTAAAAATTGCTTCAAACATCTCAATAATATCTGATAAAAGCCTAAAATGTTTTTGTAATTACGTGGTAATGCGTTGTAGCGGTCAGAATTGTAAATTTCTCCATAAAATAAATTCCACCAGTAAAGTCTAGTTGTTTTTAGGCACTAAACCTCTCATGGCATAAAGTCTACAGATTTATTTAACCACTTAACTCGTAACTCTTTGGTGCTATCCACCAGTCTAAGCTCTTATAAATGACATTGAGTGCTTTAAGTTTTCACTCTTGGTTGCATTTGCATCCGACACCTTTAGACCCCAGAAGTTTGTAAAACCTCAAAAAAAACGCTTGACCTTTTCCTCAAATCATTACTAAAGTCTTTCTTCAACTTCTGCTAGGTTCACATTACGCATAGTTTGTTCAGTTCTGAAATCACAAGAAAAACTAATCTGAGGGCCCATTACGCTTGTGAAATGCACACCGTGAATCGTAACGCTAACGTAATTAGCAGCATCACAGAAGTAATTTCATCTGACGTCGCCACAAATCAACGACATGTTAGTCGGTTCAAGTTAAATCAGCCCATTACTGATCTTCTCTTGCCGTCTAAAAGGTTTTTTTTTTTTTTTTCGTTTTCTTTTTGCCATTAATCTCACCTCAGCTCCTCGCACAGCCTGATTAAAAGCAGCTTTCTCTGCGTTTGATTCACTCACACACTTACCACACAGCTCAGTGCCGCCATTGTGGTGATGCGCGTGTGTGCGTGTGTGTGTGTGTTTCCAGCCTTCGACGGTGGTTGCATAGTGATCAAATACAAAGGCTGGATATCACATTATCACAGTCAGGAGATCAAACACACCTCCGGGGACGCACAAAGCAGACACTCGCCATCTTCAGGCTGCAGCTGGGTTTGTGTGTTTAATGGCTGTTTTATGAACTGATGTGGTTCTCTGTGCTAAATGAGCCCAGCATAGAGCTTTATTGCCTTGGACCGTTTCGGGCTGCGTTGTGCGTGTTGCTCATGCATGTGCGCACGCGTGTGGGTGTTTGTACACACAAGCTAGCAAAATTTTTTTAAAAAGAGAAGAAAAAAAAGTTGATCTTCTTGGTTTATGTTTAGTACCAAAAATATATAAAACAATATTTTTTAAAAATATATTGTTTAAAATAGATTTATTTGAATAACTTCTCCAAAACTACATTTTCAGTTTTTTGGGGTTTTGTTATTTTTTGCCAAGTTGTGGTTTCATATAGTTTATAGCCAGTTACCCAGGGTGTACCACATAAAAAATATCTCATATATTGCACCCGAAAATGTTTTTTTATTTGAGTCTTATGTTTATTCTAGTCATATGTTGAGTATATGACTATTCTGTAATTCCGTGGTGGTAGCTGACCAAAATGTCTGGCTGTGAATTTGATTATACCGACGATTAATCGAATAAAAAAAATTTAAAAATTGCACATTTTGCAGATTTTCCATTTAACTCTATTTGATACAATTAGAAGTGCATTAAAACAGACAAATGATTCAATTTTTGCAATTCAACCACTAAACCTGACTTTCCTAATTAAGTGTAAACAGCGATGTCGAGAGGACATGTGGGCATTTTTCCATGTTGTTTTTGGACTTAGTGGGCGTTTTGACCTGAAATGTTCATAAGATCTCCACTGGGCGTCAAGTGTTTTGTAGGCAGTGCTTGGAAAAAGTAAAACTTCAGTCAAGTCTGAATAATTTAGCTGTAAATGCGCCATTAATTCTCCATATTCCTAAAAATGCTGCATTCAAGGCTTTCATTGTAAAATGACTGACCAACAAAAGTCATTTGCCCATTTATAATGATAAAAACCATAAATACCAGTATTTTCTATGAAGCAAATATATTCACTTCATGCTATAAATTTGCATTTTACAGCAAAAATGAATGAATTGTGTGAAACGACTCAATCTTCTTTTCTGTCCCTACTTGCTGTTCAATGATCAAAGCGCCAGTTTCATTCCCCATTACTGATCCAGCGGTGTAATGGTCACGAGACCAAAATCAATAAATTAGAATAATCATTAAAAATACATTTCATTAGTGAAATTGAAGTCAAAACTTATATGCAGTAGATGGATTGCAAAAACTGGGACGTATTTTATACATTTCAGTCTAGTTGAGTTTGCCTTGCAGCTAAAAATGCAATTTTATTTCTAAAATTTGAAAAGAAAAGAGACATTTTAAAGAAATAAATATTTGCATGGATATTTCTTTAATGTTCTGTTTTTAGCTCTTTTTATTTCTGCTTTGGCAAATTCCAGATTCTTTATTTGCTTTAGCTCAAACCCTTTGCTGAGGGAAAGATTGCTTGTGCCCACTTTTATACGACACTTCTTCTTTCCACTCAATTTTCTACAAATATGCTTATTTAAAGCTCTCTATAAACATGTTTTTTTCTTATTCCTATTAATTCAGTCTTGTTCGACTTATGAGAAATCTAGCCCTTCAGCAGTTTCCCCAAGGCCGATGTGAACTTGGTGCATCTGGTAGGCGAATTCCTACGGAGTGATCGCAGCCTTTGTATTTTTTATTTTTCTTATGGGCATAGCGGCAGACCTCACTTAAACCTTCTTTGAAGGTTTGCGGCCGAATGTTTCCGGTTCTTGAGCGGGTGTGCGGTAGCCCCAGGACAGCAGGAGGCAGAGGAGAGTTCACTGCAGCCTTTGAACCTTTTGTCAGTCATCAGTGTGAGGGAGAGCAGAGTGTTAGGATAGAGAAGCGCTGAGGGGGGGAAAGCGCTGAGAACACATCCGCCCTGCAGAGATCGGTGACCCCCGTGTCCTCATTCAATAACATGTGGTGCCAAACTCAAATGGGGGCAAACCCAAACTTTTACATCAAGCGCATTTCGCTGCATGTCTCTGCAACAGCTCTGCAACAGCTCTCGAGACTACATTTTTCATGGCAATCACATATTTCAGTTTATTTCATTTGGATTTTTTTGACAGACCAACTCAAAGCAGTGCATTCTTGTGAAGTTGGCAGTTTAATTTTTTTTACAAATAAAACTATTAGTTCAAGTTACGGCTACAAGTCTGCTGGGGTGACGAGTTACTTTAAACATCCAAAGACTTTTGGCTTTTCTTTTTTGCAAAATGCCTCTCCGATTATCAAATTGGATGGAAATGATTAAATTCTCTTATGCCTTGCCATAAATTACCAGCTGGATTAAAATTTCTACTTGGACTATTTGCTTTAATGACAAGTCGCTTATGCTACTAATTAAGACGTCTACTAATTAACTTGTCACGCCAGCAGACTGCGTGAGTTTAAATATGCATTGGTGCTTTTATGAGCCCAAAG